ATGCAGAACTATCACTGGTGGTACTAATCATTTTGTATCCGGCAGTCGGATTTAAAGTTAAAGGCGTACCTTATAAAGCCTTCAAATTTTAAATGTTCGGTTATTTTGTACGTCATTTTTACACTTCTCTGCGGTTGACATTCAATTTTTTATGAACTACAAACTGGTTTCCGTTCGTATACCTTGTCGGTAGTTATCCAGCTATGCTCATGTGAAGCGATTGCATGTGAGCTTCAACAAATCGTGTCTACAGTACGCGAATATTGACGTCCGGATATTTGCTAGCAAAGAACTCAAATGTCAACACGAAACCCGGGAACGAACGAGTGCCTGATGTCTCTAAAATATGTTTATGATGCCACTCAAAGGAGTCTACGACGGCAGAAGTATCAGATATCATTCGCAGAAATCGACGACGTATGTATTACGCTGCTGAGCATTTGGTTTAGCACAAAATTAAGCAGTTGCTGTTTACATCCACCTGGACGTGACAGAAACTTGCGCTTTAGCATAAAAGCTGCCTGCGTATTGCGCTGTGGCAAGCACTGTGAATATTTTGTCAGCGTGCCATGTGAAGCCAATGTCATCGTCCAGTAAGGCTTCAGAATCTCGATTCCTTCTGATGACATCTTGAATCCGTGTTGCTTGCGGGTTGTAAATTTTCCACAACCAGCTGCAAGAAGTCAGTAGATGAGATAACATCGTTTCGCTGGTTTCTGTATTTCGCTGAATTACCCGAGTGAAACTCGTGCGCCGCCACTAGTTATTTGCCCTTCGGTGCTGCTTTTAGCGATGATGGAGCATTTAGCAATTCAGCAGATTTGTAGCAAAGTGCTATGTTTCCTTGTCCAGTGATGCGGATGACGAAGCATTGAGGCTAGTAGTCACGTCATTGGATTCAATAGGGATGTTTCAGCTGCATTCATAATCATTTAAATAGTCCTATTTTGTGAACACCTTGTGACTTCTAGACTAATGTGGATCACCGGCCTGGAGTACCTGTATCCAATTTATACGTTGTTATTTGTATTCCATTGGGTGATAAGTGCGCTTGGCTGCGCCAGACTTCCCTTTGAAGGGACGCCTGATTTGTCACGACGCGCAGTACTTGAACGATAGTACTTTTTGCAATACGTCAAGACCATGCAAAGTTCAGTCTCAGCCGCAACGTCCCTTAATTGAAAGAGTACGCAAATACTGCGGTGCTAGCCATGTGAGCATAAGAAGTGACCTTTATGCTTTTTCGCTTCAGGTTATCCGGAATGCAAGGAAAATGCATAAGCACCTGGGGGTATGTGATCATCAGCCGAATCGGTGCATATTTTTCTTCTCTTCGGTTTCACACTGCGTGCAAACGGGTACAGTCATATAACGAGGCATGGTGCTGGAAAGCACTCGTGTGACTGACATTATGGGGTTGTGCCTGGAGATAATGCGGTAGTAGTTTTAATGAAATATATATATAAATATATTTATATATAGAGCAATATATGAACGGAGCCGCGGTCATTTGAACTCTCTGTATATGCGACAGATGTCAAGTACTTGCATCGCTTTATTCCACAATTTCTTTACATGACCAGATAATGTCAGCACCAAGTCAAGCATAATATATCCTTGATGCGTCGACCCTCTAATTTCACAAGGTATACTGGCGGTCGCGGAAGGCACACTACCCCTACCCGCGAGGTGATTAGCAGTGGACTCATACTTAATGCTCCTACGCACATACCGGTAGAAAAATTCCCCATTACCATGACTCACACAACAGTGATTCTAACGCTGGGTACACCAATTATTACGCTGTTTTTGACGCCAGATGGATGGAACAATGGAACAATGGATTTATGCGGGTATAAAAGCTAAAGCTTGACAAATCCCGTAGGGTGATCAGTGCGAAAATCATAGAAGTGTGAAAATTTCAATGGAAACCAATTCAGTAAAATCGTTTAACAACGTGTCACTACAAGCTTGTGGACTCACCGAGTTTGAAGTGTCAAAATAATAATCCACTATAACTCCGGAGGGGGATCATGAGATATGGAGAGTATTTGGTTAAAAGAGTCACCGCCCCTTGAAATTCGCATGGGGCAACGTGTTTGAGTTTGAAGCGTCAAAATATGAATCCATTGTTGAAATAAGCTTGGGGGAAAATTATTTTTAAAGTATGGATTTTGGATATCTCAAAATTAGACTGTACTATGGGAGATAGTGCAATGAAGTGAGTGCACTATCAACTCGATTTTTGAACTCGATCAGGTTTGGTGCACTGACTACAGATTCTGGGAGAGCATTCCAGGCTTGGCAAACACGCACGGAAAAGAAATTCCGTCGACATTCCAAACGGCTGTACTGCACTGCCAGCTTCAGATGATGGCCTCTCAGGTTGTTGTTGTTACTGAGCTCCAGCAGATGGCGGCAGGTATGATTGGGGTCTGTCTGAATCTGATAAGCCAAAATCAAATCTCCCCGTAGTCTTCGATATTGACCACTAAATATCCTGAGCGATCTCAGTCTGTCTTCGTAGCGTAACTGGCCTAAACCTTTCACGTTCTTCGTTGCGCGTCGTTGAGGTTTCTCTAAATCAGAGAGGTCTTTCCTCAGCCACGGCTGCCAGACTTGTATTGCATACTCCACGTGTGGTCGTATGTATGCACCTAGAAGTTGGTGAAAAACGGATGGATCGAAGCGTCCAAATGTGCGCCTGAGAAGGCCCAAATTTCGAATGCTCGCGTTCGATGCTTTCTTTGCCTGGGCTGAACAAACAAGGTCGGACTGAATCAAGACTCCTAAATCCTTTTCCTCAGCAGCTGTGTGAAGCACATGGTCACCCAGTTTATAGAAAAATGCTGATTGGTGACGTAAGTGTAATACGCTGCATTTTTCTGTGTTGAATGGGAGTTGGTTCTGAACTGACCACGCATACACCTTATCCAGGTCCTCTTGAAGTATTGCGGAGTCGTCTGGTGTATTGATCGCTCTCCAGACCTTGATGTCCTCGGCATAGAGTAGGGAGTTAGAAAGAATGAGGGCCGCTATATCGTCAATATACATCAAAAACAATCGTGGCCCCAGTACCGATCCTTGTGGTACACCACATTCGACTTGGATTGGGTGGGACAGGGACCCACGCACTTTTACCTCTAAGCTCCGGTGGAGAAGAAAGCTTGTGATCCATCCTAGGGGCGGATCA